CACTGGGTCTTGAAAGAATATCACTACCCAAGAAAATTATTACTTTTATACATGGAACGTTATGAGCGTGTTTCCCTTTGTACGCCATGCTATATTTTCTGCACTTTTGTGCTTTTATTGAGTATAAAAATAGGTCTCCTTTAAAATTCTGTTTACGTTCACTAAAAAACTACTTGTTTGTGAAATTCTCTTATAAACTCACTGCATCCACATGGAATAGATAAAGGAATCAGGCAGCTAATGCATCTAGGTAGTGTTGAAAATAAGAAGATGAAAAAAATTAAGTATGCTAGGAGCCAAGCCAAAAAAAAAAAAAAATGCTGTAAGGAAAATGGAAGTGAGCTCGGCTTCATAAATTTTGTTTAACCTTTATTGTGGTTGAAAACATAGGCTTCACACAAAGGGACATTGAAACTCAAAACCAAAACCTGAGTTGTTATCAAAGAGCAGAAATTCTGAGATCATCAAACCCAAAGGGAAATGACAGAATAACTCAACTAGAATGGACAGTGAGAAAGAATCGATAATTAAAATAAGCTCTCAGAAAAGCACGTCAGGAGCCGCTACATGGAGACTTACTTTGGGAACTTGTGAATTCCTGTTAGGACGACACATAAGGCTCATTCTTGTTATCCTCACAGGCCATAGGCTATACAAAGGGTATTTGAAACTGACATTCCTAATGGAAATTTTATAAAATTTGGCCCTTAGAATAACAGAAATATCCTGAAAAAAGCTTCCCTGAAACTGTAATAAAGAAAGTTCTTATCTACTGATAAAATCGACAACTCAGTAAACTATTTTTGCTGGTCTTCCTACATAAGAAAAAAGCACAAATATAGTTGCCTCAGAAATCTGTTAAAAGCAGAGGACCTCGCAGGAAAAAGAGTATAAAGATTCTAGAAATGAGAGAGTACAAGAAAAACTCTCTTCAAAGTGTTCACAAAGATACATATGCCCACTAGGAGAAAAAAGTCAGAATATACATATTATCATAGCAGAGAATAAAAAAGTTAAGAGTGATATAATATATTCATATTGAATGACTACTTGAAAATTGAGCAACTTATTTGCCTTACTTCCCAGATTCCATGGGTGAAACTCATTTAAATTCTTAAGTGAAAGAGCAAATGTCCATTTCTTATACCATAAGAGGGTCAGGATGGTTCCAATTCCCAGAGAAAAAAAAGTAGGCCATGCCTTTGAGTCTTTTTCTCTCAAAACAACTAAGTCACCCTGACTGCTACAAGCATGCATATTTAAATCACTTCCCCTCCATTAACATTAAAAAGAACCATCTCAGCCCAAAAGAGCTGCAGTGGTTTTTTTTTTTTTTTTTTTTTTTTTTCCTTTTTTTTTTTTCCCTAGCTAAAGGCTAATCATTCTACAAATAATTTGCCCAGGGAACGTAGTCATTCATAACACACATATTTGCAAAGCACAATTTAAGCACACTGCCTTCCACTCGCATTAATTTTGTAATAAAAAGGGTGCATATCAAGAATGTAAGAACTGGAAATTATTTCCACAGCTTAAATAATAAGAGAACGCTGGTTCGTTCGTTTTTTGTTTTTTTTTTTTTTTTTTCAAAGATGGAAATCTCACCAAAATCCATTCCAAGTCTGTGAACTAGTTGTAAAGAGCAGGGTACCCAACTGGCTAGACTGCTGTGCACACAACGCCCACGCCCACGCCCACGTTACCATTTTAAGATACTCTGTCAATGCTCAGTTAAAAATAAGACTTACTTAAGAGACAAAAAATGCAATTAAACTTTTATTGAAACCTAACTAGTGGCAGGAATACCTTGTGTATTATATTGTTTTCGACATTCAATAAAGAATTCATTAAGAGTTCTCCACAACGCATTCGTTTAAAACAGCTTTAAATATTGTTAAAAGCGCATTCAAGCGCCTGTCCTGAGTTCTAACAGGGTTTTTGTTTTTTCCTCTAAATTTCTTGATCGCCAACCAACCAACTACTTGTCTCATTTTCCTATCAAGAAACTCGGCCACATAGCATTAAAAAAATACAAAAAAAAACCCCCAAAACAAATCACGACTATGTTTCCATTCTGAGGCCAAATTGTTATACGTTACTTATTTAAAAGTTTCTACGTTACCACAGAAAATGCCCAAGAGTCATCTATGATTTAAAACAGGAAATACATGCAAATTTTAGGTTCTCAAAATACATAGAATCCTCCTCACTAATGAGCCTGCCTTTTCTACTGGGCTTGCCTTTTCGATAAGTTTTAGAAACTGCAGCAGAGAGCCTCCACGTAAAATCACCAGCACAGAGAATCTGTCCATTGTAAACCGCTGGTTGGATTATTCGTGGCTAAAAGAAATGTCCCGCCAAAGCCCACATCCGCAGATCGTTGGGGGAGGGGAGGGATAAGGTAAACAACTGCAAAGCCCACTCTTAACTCCGAGAACCCTGCTACCACCATCTGCCCATTCTTTTCCCAGGCTTGCTACCGCAATCGGATGGATTCCCAGAAGGGCCAAGCGTCGGGGAAGAAGCCCGGCCATCTGCAGCCCGGCTCCGGGCTCGCCGTCCCTCGAGGGGGCTGGGTGGCAATGCGGGCCTGGGGGGAGGGGCGGGAGGCGCGGGGCCTGCGGCCTAGCAGCTCCGGCTGGGCGCACACGCCTCCCTTCGGGCTGCCCAAACCTCAGCCTTCCAGCAAGTCAGCTCGGAATCGGCTCAGTAGGTAGGTTCTAGAGTCGGGGCTGTTTTGCACCGAGTTTCAATTAGCCGCCGAAGGCTCCTGGATCGCTGGCTCTCTGGGCCCTAAGGGCCCGGGCACAGTCTCCTCCCGCTTCCCACGGGGCCCCCGGGGGACTCAAGGCGGTGCTAACGAAGGGGGCTGCCGGAGTCCGGCGCCTGAGGCCGGCCAGGGCCGGGATGGGAGGGGGAGGGGAGGGAAGGAGGCTGGCTCGGCCAGCGGTCTTCAGGGACCCAGTGCTCTCGCGAAATGGATCGCACCCGCACGGCCGTGGGGAAGAAGATTGAGAAGCCTAGCCACGAGCCTGGTCACCATGAAGGGTACCGCGGGCGCTTCCTCCAGGGTCTGATTCTTTTCCTTTCCTCCCTCCACACCCTGCGGGCAGCAGCCATCAGCTCGAGTGTCCCCACGCGCGCGCACCATATGCAGCCCGATGCGCCCGGGCGCACGCGGCGGCCAAGCAAGCGGAGCCTTCGGGATCCCCAGGCTCCGCACTCGGAGCCACGGGTCCCTTTGCGACCGCACACCCACGGACTGCCAGGCCCTCGAGGACACCCCCACAGGGCGCCGCGTTCCTCCCGCTACCCGCCCCCTTCACGGTCCCCATCCCTCAGTGGGGCCCCAGCGCTCCCTTCACCGTTCCTGGAGACCCCGCGGACCTCTCACGCTGCCCCCACCCAGCCGAGTCACCGCTAGAGGTCAAGAACTGCCGCGGCGATCTCCACCAACGTCCACCTCTGCGTACTCGCAGAGATGCCGCGTAAAAAAGAAAAAAAAAAAAAAAAATTCAAATCCAGAAACGGCTGTCTCCGCCCTCCGAACCTAAGCGGCGGGCACCCGAGAGCCCCGAGGACTCACTGCGAGGGCTCCAACACCTCAATGCACAACAGTCCCCGGACCCACGCACTGAACGCACACGCCCCACGGGCGCAGGCGGCTGACCGCGCGATGCCAATCCGCTCTGGTCCCACCCGCCCCTCCCGGAGCCTGTCAGCCGGCTGGGGTGGGTGGGAGAGGGAGGGAGGAGGAGGTGAGAAAGGAAGCGGAGGGGGATGGAAAGGGAAGGCTGGGAGAAAGAATGCTATTCCCGGCCTTTCACAACCAGCGGGAGGAAGAGGAAAAAGAACTCGGCCTGCCAAAGGAGCGCTTCAACCTAACGTCTCTAAAAGCAGAATTCGCTTTCCGCCACCTTCATCCGCGTACACAACAGCCTGACCACGGAATGCGCTGCGACAACAGGCCTCCACTTGGACTTCCAGAGACTATGGGTCATGCGAGCATCTATCAGTTCCAGCTGATTTATTAAAATTGTCAAGATACAGACTTCCAGCACACACACAAAAAAACCCCCAAACCCAGGCAATGATGTTGACAGTGCATTGAGTCTGCTTAGCCACCATTTGCTACTAAATATGCAGATGGTCTGGTCTTTATTTAGATTATATTGCACAAAATGAGAAACTTTTAAAACTATGTGCCTTTTTTTTCCTTTTTCTTTTTTGCTAAAAATCGAGAATCCAGTTTCAAACCTTCCATCTGGGGCCCCGTCCACATCACAGCGATGAGATACATATATGACACGGTACATGTACAGTCTTCAAACTAGGATAACAGCTCTGAGGTCTAGACCGCCATTTTCAATAAATCTTTACCTACAAATATTGAACAAATCTCTACTATAGCTGTACAAAAAAGTTTGCTTTTTCTTTTTAAAACCACAAGGCCTTTAGATGCAAGGATTACTATTAAAATTTTAATCCTTTTAAACCAGGACATAACGTACCAACATATTTGCATGCTAAAAAAAAAATACCAGAAAAAAAAGAAATCAAAAGGGAAGAAGTGCCTGAAAGTCTTACTGAAAAAACACAGCAAGAATGTTCCCTTTTCACTGTACAAAAATACGCCTGAAAATATATTAATTTTTAAAAAAGACTGAGGTCTGTTATGTATCAAAAATGCTTCAATACCTTTTGTACTGAGGTCTAGGCTGTAAGGTATTCAATCAAGGAGGCATAAAGGAACGAGTCACAAAAAAAAGTTGGCAAGTAGAAATCACATTTGTAAAACCATAAACAATTTGATCTGAAAGGTAAACTCTGGTCTTAAGTCAGTTCACAGTTTTTTTTTTTTTTTTTTTTGTAAGCGTTTGTACAGTCTGCATTTTTTCAAGCTCCCTGCAGTTTTGTTAAGAATTGGATGCATAGAAGACATCAGTTTTCTCCCTCCAAAAAGTAAAATAAAATAAAAAGGTTGCAATGGTCCCTTTTTTTTTTTTTTTTTGCTTTAAAAAAAAAAATCACCAGTTCTTTAAGATCTCTTAAGGAAAAAAAAAAAAAAATCACCAACTCCCTAGAGAAACCGTTGTGCTGCCAAAAGGGTCCTCTGCAGAGGTCTTTCAGACTTCAAAGAGCGACAAGCTTCAAACAGCGCCTTCCGGAGCGGGTCCTCCCTCCCCTCCCCCGCCCGGTCCCCTCCGCCTCTGTTGCAATCACGAATTTCAGGAAAAAGAAATAGTAATTACAAAAACACATTTTTGGGGGTGGGGGAATCACAACTGCAGACTAGGTGTGCAACTACCTTGAGACACGATAAAGGGAGGGGTGGGGAGACAAAAATAGGACAGGAAAAAATGTTTAAAAACTGCTCATCCACTTTAACTCCACCAAAATTTTCATCATCTTTTCCAATTTCTTTGCGTCACATCTTATTTCATCAGCATCTTCTTCTCTCCCCTCCACCCCTACCACCACCACTACCATCATCATCCACACCATCCTCTTTATCCTGACCGCCATGACTTCTCTCCCAAGGAGCCCTGTTCTGCGCCCGCTGAGAGAAAGAGCGAGGAGCCGGGCACCCCTTTCAATACGTGAACACCAGGTCGGAGAAGTTCGCCTCCAGCCAGTCCCCCGCGATCATTTCGCTCAGCTCCGGCGTGCAGTAGTCGGGGAACTCGAAGTGGGAGCCCAGGCTGCCCTCGCTGAACGAATCCAAATCCTTATCCACCAGCGACAGGGACAGGTTCCCCGCCGCCGCGCCGCCCCCCAAGGGCTGCTCGCAGGCGCTGTGCGCGCTTTGGGAGAAATTCAAGCTCAGGTCGAACATCAGATCGTCGGCGTCGTCGCCGCCGCTGCTGCTGCTGCTGCTGCTGCCGCTGGACGACGAGGTGGACACAGAGCGCGAGGACGCGGGCGATAGCGCGGGCTGAGCCAGCGCCGGCGGGTGCTGCTTGGTGATGTTCTTGAAGCTGTAGTAGAGCCGGCTGCCGCCGCCCGAGCCCGAGGTGGCCCCGGCCCGCACCTCATCGTACAGACTGGCGCCCTCGGGGGACTCAGCCGCACTGCTCAGCGTCGGGCTGGCCGGCACTTTGGCGACGTTGTAGCGTCTCAGCAGCTGCGGCGGCTGCTGGCCCGGAGGCTGCAGGAGGTGCTGGTGCGGAGGCTCGTCGTCGTCTTCTTCCGCCTCCTGCTTGATCCGCAGCTGCAGCTCGTCCTCGTCCTCATCGTCGTCGTCGTCGTCGTCCAGGAACACGCACTTGACCGTCTTCCCCGCGCCGCCCGCCGCGCCGCCGCCGCGCAGGCTGCCGAGCGCGAAGTCATCTGCGCCCAGGTCCCCGGGCTGCGCCTTGCCGGAGCCCGCCTTGCCCGCCGCGGCCGCGGGCGCCTTGAGCTTGCCGCACTTCTTGCTGGAGCTGCGGGAGGACTTGGCGCCCGCGCCGCCCGCTGCGCTCTTCTCGGGGCTCTGGCTGGCGCTAGGCTTGGCCGAAGGGTCCATCTTGGGCTTTTTCCGCGGCCGGTACTTGTAGTCGGGATAGTCGGCCATGTGCTTGAGCCGCAGCCGCTCCGCCTCCCGGATGAACGGGATCTTCTCACTGTCCTTCAGCATCTTCCATCGCTTGCCCAGCCTCTTGGAGATCTCGGCGTTGTGCATGTCCGGAGACTGCTCCATGATCTTTCTGCGTTCGATCTTGGACCATACCATGAACGCGTTCATCGGCCGCTTGATGTGGCCCGACGCCGTCTTGCACCAGTCCGGGTCGCTCTCGTCCAGGGCCACCGGGCTGCAAGCCATGAATTCGCCCTCCTCGGTGTCCAGCGCCTCCCGGGGCAGGTTGCTCTCAGCTTCCAAGCTCTCCGCCTGCTGCACCATGGTCCGCTGCGGGGTTGGGCGCTCCAACCCGGGCCACTCGGTCTCCTGAGCAGGTCCCCCTCCCCCTCCCACCCCTCCACCTTCCCAGGCAACTTGCAAAGTCCTCGGCACCCCGCGTCCGCGGCTCCCCCCCTCCCCCCCGTCCCCCCTTCCAGGCTGCGCACAGCGGCTGTGGTGGCTGCGCCCGCCCGCGCGCTGGGGGTTGCGGCGGCGACTGGAGAGTCGGAGGCAGCCCGGGACCCCGGTCTCCCCGCTCGAGGCTGCCGCAAGCGCCGGACTCCAAACACTCCCAGGCGCGCGCGCTTCTTCTGCAAAAAGTTGAGGGCTCTCTCTCAACTAGTTATCAGGGTGTCATATGGATGACATCACTCCTCCCGCCAGCCAATGGTCGAGGCCCGGCTCCGCCCATCTCCCTTTATTAACTCAGAGGCTCCACCTCTTTTTCCCCGCCCTCTGGGCTTGTTCGCAAGGATGGGGGGGCAGGTCTAGAAATATGTTATTTTTTTAAAAAAGAAATCCGCGTGTGTGCACAGATGCGCGTCTCCTCGGGATGCTCGGCGCACTGAGCCATCGGACTCGGGGTGAAACTAGCGAATCTGAGCGCTGGCGCCAACTGAGGAACTGGCACCGCAGAGGCCCAGGCGTGCCTTTGTGGCTACTCGGCTGACCAGACGGCATTAGTAGCTGGGGCTCCCCACACCTGGTGGGCGTAACTCGGCGCGCGGACGGCAGGAGAGCGGGGCTGTAGCCGGGACCGCCGCGCCCAGCCTCCTGGAATGGTCGCCGCAGCTCCTCCGCGCTCCCCCGCGGGGCTCGGTACTTCCCCGCACCGCAGCCGGGAGCCCTCGCGGGAAACCCGCTCAGCCTCTGACCGGCGGAAGGTGGCGCTTTAACACAACAACCTGGTCTCGGCACGTGGGCTCTATTCTCCTTTTCCTTTTCTCCCTTTTACTAAAAGCAAAGAAATCAGTGTAAAGCCGGAGAAGCTGTGCTCTCCCTTCCCCCGCTACAGTTCTCCCCCTCGTTTTGTTTTGTTCCTTTCCCCTTCTGGTCCCCCTCCCTGAACGCCGTGTCTAGGGGAGGTTTTGGCTGTGCCACGCCACCGCGCGCCCCGCCCCGGGTAGGGGCCAGGGTAACTGCCTGCGGGGATCGCTCAGTGCGGGACAGCTCCAGAACCGGTTCTAAAGTAGGTCCAGGACCATCCGGCCGTGGCTGCTCCCCCTCCACCACTCCAGGGGTCCCTGAACCCGGGGAGCCGCGCTTCTCAGCCCCGGAACTGCGGTCCCGCGCAGGGCGTCCCTCCCCCACTCCTTTCGGTGGCGCAGACCTCCTACTCCTCCTTCTCTTTGTCCCGCCTCCTTCGTCCATCACTAACGCCCTCTCCTCCCCTGCAGCCGGTCCTGAAATCCTGGAATTGCCTCTTAGCACGCACCTTCTGGGTCATTTGCTGTTTTAACCCAACAACACAAACCAAAGCTAAAATAAGGTGCACTCGAATTTAAAGCAAAAACATTTAGGATGTGCGCGAAAAGGTGAGCTGATTATTGGAAGGGCTAGCTTCTGTCAAGCAGCCCAGCCCAGCCCATCTGCTGGGTTCCTTCAAAACTCGCCTTTCTTTGTGTTCACTCGGTCCCTGTTATCCACCGCTGGCTCTTCTGGGAACGATGTTTAAACACCTTTTGCTTTCTCTGTAATATCTGTAGTCATCCTGTCTTCCTCATACCTCCCCCCGGGGGGGGGTTGGTAGATTCGAGTAGTTCTTAAGATTTGCAACCCCCACACCCCACCCAGAGTCTCTCACCCGAGAAATCAGCTGCTCCGGACTAGTGCAATTATCTAAACACACTTTCCTTCAGATTGTGTCCTGCCGAGGCACTATGCTTCTTACCTACTGGATTTTAACCCCAGGCTCACCCGAGGTATAAAATGATACCATGTCTTTTCAGATCATTTTATGAAAAAATGACCCTATTTCACCCCACCCCCCAATTAATCCTAAAGAAAAACATTGTCTCAAATACTTGTAATATAGAAGCTAACCTGAATCTTGACAATGCTGGCGTTTTACTTTTTAAGGCCATCAGAACCTTAAGAGAGTACAGTTATTTGTGCTGAGTGACTGAAGTCTGGAGATGTATGAAACCCAAGGCGGGTATGTGGAAATCCATCTTCCCCGGCAAAGCAGACATCCTATCTTGTTTTTCTCCTACCTCCTGCAATTTCCCAGAGATCAGGAACACCGGGGGTGAGTAGGGTGGAGCCAGCGTTAATCTACAATGCAGTCCCCAGCACAAGACAAATCTACACTCTGGATAGATGGCTTGAAATACTTCAGCTCAGCTTTCTGTGTGCATGCAAAGCAAGGGGGCTATCTACCACCATTATTTTATTTTTATTATCTCCCCATCTCATGTTTTTGTTTTGTTGTTACTGTTTGTTTTTGCCGTTGTTTTGTTGTTTGACAGGATCTTCTTATACACCTCAGGCTCATTTTAAACTCCAGGCAATCCTAGGCCTCAGGAACCAACACTTATGGGCACCTGCCACTTTAGACTCTTAATAGAACTTAGGTCTGAAAAATCAAATTTAAATTCTAATGTCCTTGCTGCCCTCCCAGTATGGATGAAAATATGTGTAGCTACAGTCTGAGCATGACCAAAGACAGAAGGACTGAGCAGTCATGGGTTTGTTCTCCGAAGGCTGTGCTGCTCTGGGGGGTTATGAGAGGAAAATCTGTTCTTTCAAGTGAGAAATAGAAACTTCTGTTCAAAGAAAGGTGGGTCATTCCCTGGTGAAGATGGAGCCCATCTAAGAAGGCTGCATTTTACTGTGAGAGCCCAGAGGCTCCTTAGGTCTTTGAGTCAACACAGGCAGAGGCTGGGGGTGGGAAGCCTGCTGCAAGTGCACGGCTGAAGAGCAGGTCCTGCCCTGCCATCTAGGCTTAGGAAGGTTTTCACAAAAGGTTAAATAGATTGATATTGATATTTTGTATCAGGGAACCACCCACATTTTTACTGCTACTTATGCAAAGAGTTATGCTTAATGAAAGAAGAAAATTAGGCAATTGACCTGTAAACATCTTTCTTTATCCTGCTTCCTAAGAAAAAAAATTAAAGAAATACAAAATCTTTTTTTTTAAAAAAGAGGAGAAAGAAAGGGATGCACACATGGAGCTCTCGCGGTATGTACAGGAGCAGTATTTACTCATGAAAAAATGCAGATCAGATGTTTATATCAGTCATTAAAAGGGATGTTGGCTAACAGACAGATGTCTAGCCTTCTTGAATAGTGTATCTGTCTCTAGTTTAATTTAGTAAAATGGAAATGATTGCTATGTTTTAACCTACTGAGCTTAAATCAGGACTAGACTGACCAGTTATTGTTTCAGATCTAGTACACACTTCATTTTTCTGGGTATACTTGTCCGTGTACCTATCCGTAACTGAGATTTGTGAGTTTCCTGTTGAGGATAAACATGGCTGAATCCACAAATAACCCTTAGAGTCTTTGTCCTAGCATCTGATCAGAGCCACTGATGCCTACACCTTTATCACTGTTGTCTTTTCAGTATATCTTCATAAAGATACTGGCAAAGATCATTATATCAAAAGATATTCCACAAACTCTCCCAAAATTATAACACATGAGAATAAATATGAAATGTCCCATTTTCCTCAAAAGAATTTTACTATGTGGGTAATAACTTAAATGATCACTGGGTTAGCATTTGACTCATCATCTGTTGGAGGAAGTCTTTACTTCTTTTCCTGTCTCTGTAACAGCCCCATGCTCTGGGCCCTCCTTTTCTCTTCCGTTGTTCTTTTCAGTTGCTTCTCTGCCTCACTGATCCAAGTCCTGAGTGTGGATCTGAACAGCTTCTGTCCACTGAACATGCCCTGTTAAACATATTTCAGAGGTGTTGGTGAGTATGGATTGGGCTCACCCTACCAACACATACTCACACAAGTGCTGAGGCTCCCCAGGGGTCCCCAACTGAGCGAATAAATACATGTGGGTAGAGGTGAAAATTCAGCAGACACTATGGACTCTTCCACACATAACATGTCCTTGAAACTTCCGATGGGACCTCACACTGTGGCTGGGTGATTGAAAGCTCTAGCTCACACCTCACACAAGTCACTCCATTCTGATCTCATCATGTTTCAGGGACTCTTCCCTGGGTCTGTGTGTTCGGTGCACTCGCTGCATCTATACCACAGGTGCAAAGCTGAGAGGCTTCTCCTGAGGATATGGTTAAATGTGATATATCCTCTCTCCATGACACTCAATCACACAAGTGTGCATGTGCACACACACATGCAATCACACATGTACACACCCATAGGTATGTATACATGCACTCACATTCATGAATACACATGCTTGCACACATATACACATACTCATGAGTATGCACACCTGCACTCACATCGTGCATACATGCACACACACCTATGCATACATACATACATACACACACACACACACGCTCTCACACAACCTTGATTATTTCATCAGAACACACTTCAGTAGCCAGAAGAATCTTCCCATTGGTCTTCCATTCTTCTGTTCTCCAAGTCACCCCACTGGGCGCTGTGGTCCATTACATCACGAAAGGCAGAGTGATGCAGCTCCAACTAGAGCTTTGGAAGTGATTTCACCCATGACCTAGATCATTAAACACGTTTATCTCATGACCCGGAACACACATATGTCTGCACACATACAAAGCAGAACCAAAGGTTCAAAGTCAGCATCTTTCCTGTGTTGTGCGATTCCAGCGTTTCCTGTTCTGGCCTGTCCTATTCTAGTATTCCACCGCCTTCCATTTTGTTAAGCACTGTGAAAGTGAGCTGGAGCACTAGTGAGGTACCGGTAAAGAATGAGACAGGGCTTACAGGGCGAGGCTGAAAGCCTGAGTCAGTTTGCCTTGGGTTGGACTCTTTCATTCTCTTCTGATCATGTAGCCTCAACTTCAGTTGTTAGTGACCCGATAATTCCACAAATTTGCTATTTCCCCAAACTACAAGTTATCTTTTTTTCTATTATTCATATGAATTATAAATTCT